TTCTCAAAGAGAAATTAGGATAATCTATTAGTTACCTAAAATGTTTAAATACTCACGTGAGAAGTATGAGGAATAAGAAGGAAGAACTGGAAATTCTAGTACTCAGAAAATGATATGCAATTGGAATAACAAAGACTTGAGTACCATCATGAAGCATGTAACCTATATAAGCAAGACAGGCAGGGGAAAAAAAAAAAAAAGAGGTCTTGCCTTATACAAGATGCATGTTTGTTTGGAGCTGCAATACCTATTGAAAGTTTCTGAATCAAGGTCAGTGTGGAGAACGGCAAGGGTGATGCCAGGGTGGATGCCTGCTATAATAAACCAGACAGAAGAGGTGGATGAGGCTTTCCTTAAACAACTAACCAATGTTTCCAAATTACAGGACTTAAGAGTTCTCAAGAGGGTCTTTACTGAGGCACCTGCTGGGAGGGAAACACAGCAGAGCACCAGCAGTCCAGCAAGTCTCTGAGTGTGTCAGGAATAACTTTTTGATAAAAGTTCTAGGGAGCCCAATTAGGGAAAAAGTTCTTTTCCAGTTGCTTCTCACAAACTGGAAGGAACTGGTTAACCTATACATTGACTCTAAACAATCTATATTACTTTCTAGAACAACCTCTGAAACTTCAAAACTTTTCATAGTAACTGGTTACCCACTACTTACACTGACCAGGAACAGAAAGTATTCTTTTCATACTTCATATTCTCTCTTCTCTTCATACCTGCCTCTCCTTGAAGAGCTTCTGCAAGTACAGTTCCATTTACCTTTCACACTTGACCTCTAGACTTCAGCATGCAACTCTGCAGATTATGAACTATCTGCAACACAAGGAGCAGTAGAACGACAGGAAAGTAGAACGGGAAGAGATCTCACAAGGTCGTCTAGTCCAGTCCCCTGCTTAAAGCAAGATTGCCCCAACTACACCATCCCAACCAAGAGTCTGTTTAGACTGCTCTTGAAAAGTTCCAAGGATAGAGCTTCCACAATTTCTCTAGGTAGCTTGTACCAATGCCTGACCATCCTCAAGAGTCAGAAAGTTTTTGCTAATCTCCAACTTAAATTTCCCCTGCTGTAGCCTGAGGCAATTACTCTTAGTCTTGTTTCATAGAGCAGGCTCTCTCAACCAGTGGGACATGAAAGTGCTATAAGTGGGACTCAGGTTGCAGCAGCAAAACCAGAAGTGCCACGGTGGGACTTCTGGTTTCACTTTTGCACACTTCAATTGGCCACTATGACCAAGTTCTCACTTCCTACAGGAGTCATTGAAGAGATTGTTGTCCAGCCAAGCTGGTCTACTGTTGCACTTTCCATTTTTCTGACACATCAGGATAGCTTACACCTATGCCTTTAAGACAGCCTCCTTATAGTACAGATAGCTGTCCTGGATTCCTTTTCCCTTCAGAGTTGTCTCCTAAAGAATCCTGCCTACCTGTTCCCCAAGTTTGTTAAAGTCTTCTTTTCTGAAGTCCAGTGTCCTTATCCTGCTGCTCTCCTTCTTTCCTCCCCTTATGATCTTCAACTATAATTTCATGGTCCCCTATCACCCAAATTGTCTTCCACCTTCACTTTCTCAACCATTTCCTCCCTTTTGCAAGCAGTAAGTCAAGAAAAGCTTCCCTGCCTAGTTGGCCTCTTTACCATTTGTATCCATTCCTTAAACCAGTGGTTCTCAACCTCTGGTACCTTTCATACCCCATGCCGATCGACACAGCGAAAGCGAAACTGGAAGTCCCACTGTGGCACTTCCAGTTTTGCCACCACGAGCCGAGTCCCACTTTTTCCACTGCAGTGTGGGGCCTCCCTCCCTGTCCCCCAGCACACTGACACTGGGGAGTGAAAGCCCCAGTGCACCGGACACAGCAGGAGGCGCAGCAGTCAGAACTTCTGGCCCAAGCAGGCAAAAACAAAATGCAGCACGCGTATACCCCCTGCCTGTGTCTCACATACCCCCAGGGGTATGCATACCATGGGTTGAGAAACACTGCCTTACACAATACAGAAACTTCCGGGACTGCTTTTGTATTGCTGTGTTTCCTTTCAAGCAGATAACATGATAATTAGAGTACCCCACAAAAACCAAGTCCTGCAATCTGTCAGTTTTTTAAAGGTTGTAATGATACTTATTGCATTTCTAACAATTCAGCTCTTTTTAATTAGATGGATTCAAAGAAGCTAAGGACACTAAGGTTTCAGAGCACCATTTTAAAGTACTTTTTTTTTTTAAAGCAAATTTTTGCTTTCTATATACATATGGCATACCATTAAAGAAGGGGTGCGAGAGATACAGCTCACAAGTCTGATCCAGCCTGCAGAGCCCCCTTAATCAGCCCTGGGCCTGGGTCTCACAGTTTACTCACATGGCCTGTGCCAAACTAGACTGACATGATACCCATTCCAGCTGCTCCAGGATGCATACTGCACATAGCTCAGGACCATGTTGCATGAGCTGCCCATTCCAGCTAGTCCAGGATCTGCACTGGAAATGGCGCACACCCCCACCAGCCTGGGACTGCACTGCACTACAGCTGCTCCATCTGATCCAGGACCTGTGCTGCATGAAGTTCCCTGACAAATGCCACATGCAGCACTCATTCCATACCAGCCAGAATGGGTGCCACAGTCCTGGACAAGTGGGGGCAGACACCATATGCAGCATGTGTCCTGGCCCAGCCAGAGCATGGAACACATCCCAGACCAGCAGGAATGGGCACCACGTGCAGTGCAGGTCCTGGAGCAGGTGCTGCAGCTTGCTAGGGGAACAGTCGGGCTATGGGCCCACACCACACTGGCCAGATGAGTTTGACACCCCTGCATTAAAGTAATCAAGATGGTATCCCTATGCAAGAAGAGTAAACATACGATTCATGATTCCCTGAGTGCTGCTTTATCATCTTGCTGCTACTTACAGTGGCCCCATAATGAGGTTAATTAAATAACTTGTAGCTCAAAACTACTTAATCAATTCTCCTTATTCTTGGTTGAAGAACCAATTAGGTGATGTTATATAATGAAATCCACTAAACAGGATAAAGCCCAAACAAACCACTTTGTCAATAAAGCCACAGGAATCCACAAGGCTAACACTATATATTTCTACCAGCTAAACAAAGAAAAACCAGAAAAACAGCTTCTCAGAAAAGTTTTTTTTCACACTCCACCACAGTAGAACAGCAGCTAAGACTAATGGTATAGCAGTATTATGCGATTTAATATGAAACTAATCCTGACATGTATCGTTATTTGCCCAGTTTGCTCAACCCAAAAGTTCACCGGGGGGGGGGGGGAAGAAA